GAAATTTGAAACTTTGAAGGGGAAGGAGAGAACCCGGTTTATGGAAAGAGTAGAACGAAGGAGGAACTAATTGCACTTTTGACTACTCCGAGAAACTGGTCTGTTAAATATTGCCGCCGATGGAATATTTCATTAAGTGCGGCTACGCGAAACTTTCTTCCGACCAGCTGCGGCTCGAGGCTAGTATGAAGCGTCTTTCGCGAGACGGTTTCAATGCTCGCTCCATTTCCCACGATATTCCTCGATCAGACGGAATTTTAGAGGGCATTCGAGTTTCCTATCTTGCTGCTGTGTGGTTGTACAGTTTTAAATGGTGTATAGATTTATGGAGAAATTCGATTCGAACGGTAAATTGATGTTATAAAGACGCCTATCTTCGTCGTCGTACGAAATAAGGTAATTGAGTTGCACGAGAGATTGATTTTCTTTATTAACTAGTACCACAAGGGTGAGTCAATAATTAAGTTACAGCTCCTCGCTAACTTCCTTCTAACATAGATACGTACAGTTTCACCAAACCAACAAAATATCGCAAATAAAGCATCTCAAAATAAAGAGACCAACCTTAAAACGATTCTACGCAAACTTTTTAAAACCGAAATTCCTGAATTGGTTGCTCGTTACAAGTGTTTAGTTGTGAGAACTAGTATCTATCACCAAATTTTCTTAGAGAGGGTGTAACTTATTCTACGACTCCCGAGACTTAATTTTCACCTGTATACTTTCATAAATAAAAATGCTCCCTAGATACGAATCCAAAGTGCTTATTTTCCCGTTGCAAACACCTCCGCTAAATCCACAATTCCCGATTCATTTCTCCAAGGTGTATCCGCTACCTTCGAATCAAAAATTCGGACGAAGCTTCAGGTGCGTTCAGCTGACCTTAACCCGTGCAACGCACATCGTTGTTGTATACGGAAATGGCGGGTGAATGGGGATCGTTGCGCCATAGGTTTCTGGGGGTGCATAATGTGTCCAAACCAATCCTGTCTCTGGCAGCCGGACCGATTCGATAAGCCCTTAATCCATCGGCAATTAGCCCGCACAGTGGCCAACGCAACCCCTTCTAACGTTGCTCAACCCCACCCACCTACACGATCGTCGTCCCTATCTGTCTCGGGACGCGGCGATCTCTAGCGTCCTCCTCTTTGTCGCTGGCTAATTCAACAGTCTCTGTGACTGTATAATTAACAGACGGCTCGCGTGTGTTTATGCACGGAATGCGGCTGCTATTCACGAACCACTGGCTTCGACAATAACGAAAGATTCTCTCGACCGGTCTCTGTTTGGTTTCGGTTTCTTTCATCGACGAGGATACCATTCACTTGTCCTGTTTTGTTTTCGTCAATTGGTAATCGCTGGTGGTTCTTGGAAGCGTATGATTTTAACACGTACACTTGTGTTCCTCAGTCTATTATTGTTTCTTTATTCGGAAATGTGATCAATCTTTCGGAACAACAGTTTTTGAGTACGAGTTGCGAAATATGTCGAGTTATATACTTGACTTCTTCCAAGTGGCTTATTGGAATAAAGAACGTTGGGAATAATCGAGCGGGCAAATATTTTAGCAGTGCAGCTCGCGACGAAGTTAATGTTCAATTATTTTTTCCGAAATTCTTCAGTTTTAGTAATTACGAAGGACGCGATTTAGTTGGCGAGTATTTACGCTCGTCGTTTCTTTATTCAGAAAAGTGACAAATTTTTCGGAATAATAAGTTTTGAGTAGGAGTTTCGAAATACGTTCGGTACTCGACTTCTTCCAAGTGGCTTGTTGAAATAAAGAACGCTGAGAATAAACGAGCGGGCAAATATTTACGAGTGGTAGTGCAGCTCGCGGCGAAGTTAATTCTCAACTAGGTGTTTCACAAATTCTTCAGTTAGTTTTAATAATTAATTAATGATTTACTTTCGACAGAAATTTGAGCGTTGCCCAAAATTTGCCATACGTTGAATACCACCGACTATTTCCTGAAAAAACCAACTTTCACGCAACGTTCTCACAGCTATACACCGTTCTCCCCGTAAAAATCACAACCAAGAGGCTGTCTTGCCCGAGCAAGTTAGCAAGGAAGTTAAAGAACGAGAAGAAAAAAAGGGGAAAGAAATACAAAAAGAGAGGGAGAACGCGACGTTCTGGTGATTCGTTTTAAAAAGAAGTGCACGTGACGTTCTGGCTCCTTATTTTTCGAAGCGGACGGAAGAGTTTCTGCGGTGGAGAAAGAGGCACAAAGACTGCGAACGCGGAGGAAGATGGAGAACGGTTCGAAAATAACAGAGAGAAAAGAGACTTGAAACGAGAGCACGAGGGGGGGCACACAAGCCACTTCGTACTTTCGTCGTAAAGAAAGGAAAGCATACTTCGAAAGAACTCACCGTGATACGTCCTCCTGAGAAACAGCTCGTGGCGTGGCCGCGCCGTGAAGAGCGAGAGAAGACGCGTGACGTGATTCTTGCGAGTACGGCAGCGTCGAGTTGTTCTCCAGCGCCGACACAGAACCATTTTGTTTTCCTGTTCACGGGCAGAAAGCAATGAAAAAGGGGGCAACGGGTAATTTAGGAGTGTGTTCCCGCCTAATGGAGGGACGTTCGCTTTTCGAAGCACGAACTGATCCTCTGCGAACGCTGTAGCTTTCAAGCGAACGATCGTCAAATGGGATTTTATCGTTTATTTTTATTTTTTGTAGTTAAAATGGTGACATTTGTGAAATTGTGAGAATTAAACGGTAACGTATTGAAATTAATTAATCTCTTTGTTGCAGGTATAACGAAGGATAGTCTGTCTGTATGCTCTTTCATTAAGTTCTAACCTCTTTCACTGGCCAAATTTTGCATAATTTTAGAAATGGCGCCTTCGTTGATTATTGTGGAAATTAATTCGTCTATTTCTTATAGATAGAAAATGTAAATATAAAAATAGATATAAAATCCTAGATCAAAGATCTAGGCATAACATGTCAAATTAATTGGCGCCTTCGTTAACTACTGTGCTTACAGAAAAAAAAGAGGGAGATCCCCCGTTGTTCAAAAAAATTTGTCGAACTCTAAAAAATTAGTCACCTCGTCTCGTTTAATTCGAAAGAAAAATTAAGTACCCACGTATCTGCAATGGTTTCTGAGAAACCAGCTTGTATCAAATTATTCGATCCACTCTGTATAGTAATACACCAAAGTTGAACGATCACGAAGTTTCAAGGCTATGAAATCAGGCCGAGGTGTCTAAGTTTCACAATCTTACAGAGCAACGACGCAAAATTTGATCCAGATAAATCAAAGACTACAGACGTTCTATTTGATATTACCAAAAATTTCCAAGTACTTCTATGTTTGTCTTTCATTCGCAGAGAATCAACTCTAGAACGGAACAGACTAAACCGCGATGTTCCATCGAAACGGTAATTGGAGTGCAGAAAAAATCGTTCCGCTCCGCGTAATTTTCGAGCATTACTCCTGCGAAGCTTCCGCAAGGGAGGGCAGAAGAGTTTTACGAGCCCTGCTTTATGAGCGCGATGAATAAATAACGCTCGATCGTCGAGGCGGACAGGAAAGCCGGGAATTCGTGGGGGAAGTCTCGGGATCAAAAATTCATTCGGACGCGGCCGCAGGAGAAAAACAGGGAATCCCCGTGTTTGTCGTTCGCCTTGGTGCCCATGGGGAATGGAAGGAGTTACGGGTGGAACGTTGCCGCACGAGAAATTGATCGACGTTTAAGTAGCGATGAATAACTCGAATATTCAGACGTGATAACTATCGCGATTGGAATTTCAAATATTCGAGAAACTAAAACTTCCGGTAAATTCCTTGATACAAAGTATCAAACGAAAATGTTCCAAGAAGAACGCCAAGAACTGCTTCTGAATTTGAAAAATTTCTAATACACGAGTTGAATTTTCTACGTTCAGATAATTTTTATCGTTAGTGTGAAAGAGACTAGCGACCGGGTCACAATGATCCATTAGCGTCTTTCGAAAAAGTGTGAACGTTCGATGTTATCGTTTGTAACTTCCCGAATTTATTTCCTACGTCGATATGCATCGAATTTTCCAGTCACCGTTTGATCCATTAGCGTCTTTCGAAAAAGTGTGAACGTTCGATGTTATCGTTTGTAACTTCCCGAATCTTATTTCCTACGTCGATATGAATCGAATTTTCCAGTCACCGTCTACGTACACAAAAATTCACTTTTGGAAAGTCGCTGATGGATCATTTACGTGTTAAGAGATTCTATATATTACGTGCTAATAAGAAAGAACACATACCTCAGAAAAGGAAACAGTTCCTCAGACAAGGACGCAGAAATTACTATGTCGGAAACACTCGATGTTAAGCGTACGACCGACGAACGTGAACTGCTCTACGATCCTGTTATGCTCGGTCTCGTATGCCCCTGTGTTTCCTTCGTCCTAGCCCGTTCAATGCTCCGTCAAAACAAACATTACCCTAGCAGAAACCATATCACGACCGAACTACTTCCTTTCCCAAACATTCCTATTCACCTACCCGACGTCCAATTTATAACAGACACTAAACGCAAAAATAACTTTCGTTAGAATATTCAACAATTACACACCGTTCCCTATTAAATTTTCCACCCCACGGTCAATTCCCTAACAAAACCAACAAAACCCCCACAAAAAAGTCACAAACTCCCAAAGCTGGAATGCTTTCTCTCTCAAAAAGAATCTCCGCCTGGCAGTTGTTCCCTAAACGACGAGCTACGTGCACAGCAAGCCTGGAAAACTCGCGGCGCGGCCACAGGACGTTCTCGCTTTCCGCAGCTTGCGAAGGAAAGAATTTTCCCTGGGCGTCCGGTGGCCGCGAACAAAGGTAGAAAACGCGACGGTTTTTTCGCGGTGCGTGAGATATTTATCGTCGCGGAAGGGTGGGACAATTCGAGGAGAAAAGATCCGGAAAATGTGAAACGAGGCGCGCGAGGAAGAGGAGGACGTGTGTGAGAAGAAAGTCGGGAACACGAGTCGCCCGACGTCTCGGTGGTGGAATAACGTGAATGGAAAGGGTTATGGGGGGAGCGAGTAGTAAGTAGACGAGGCTTACGTGGTTGCGGCGAGAGCGAATTGTCCGAGGCCATCGGGGGTGGCGGCGGTGGAACGATTCCGGTTTCCGGTTTCGCCACGAGAAGAACCACGCGATCCTGGGTCGCCTTCAGCGTCGCCACTGCTTCCTCGTGCGTCACATTCTCGAGGTTCGCTTCGCCCTGCTGGAATCAAAGGAATCCTCTTTTTTATCCTCCCTTTTGCGCGGCTAGAAGCCAACGACTTGTTGATACCGTTCAACCGTAATTCAATTCCGCTGGAATTTTGCTCGAGCACGTTAACTGTGACCTATGGCTTCCATTTCTGATCACCGGCGACTAATTTTGCTTGCTGGTACTACGCGGGATTTTTCTTTTCCCCAGTTTTTGTTCGTCCTTCGGGGATATACGCGGGGTGAGCCACGTGAAACGGGCAATCTTGTCTGGCTATGGTGGTGCGAGAATCAATTCGAGAACGAGAGGAGGAATATTTCTTCTTGCGAAAGAAATGGTAGAAAATTAAAGGAAGTTTCACGTCCAAGGTCTTTTAACCCTTGTGTCAGTAGCCACAATTGTCGTCTACTTTATCGTCCAGTTTTAGTAGTTTTCTGATAAGGAAATTCTAAGCTTGAAGCACACGCAGATAGCAAATGTGTCAAGTAACAACAATCTCGCCGGATATTTCAATGTTTTACCGAAAAATCAAATATTATAAACGAGAAAATGTACAAAGGATACTCGAGTATCGACATAAGGGTTAAAAGTCATTATTATGCATGTTTACAGTAAAATAAAAAAAAATACATTACTGTGAAAAAACATAGATGTACTCGAGAAAATTAGAAAAGAATGAAATTTGTAAAAAACTTGTTCTTCGCAAATTACGCATAGAAATCTTCTGGTACCCAACTACAACTACTAGTGTGAGTCGTCCTTAGAAGGACTCAGGGTGCCTCAGCTTATTAGCTTATACCCCTATCAGACCAGGTTTTCTACTTTCCATCGAAACCACCAAGCCGGAGAATGAGCGAGGACGCCCGACCCAAACTGGCGGTAAGGATTTTTGCTGTTGGACTTTTTCAATTTCTAGAACGTTAGTAAGGATGGAACTAACGTCTGTGTGAAATTTCAGCCCGACCCAACTACAACTAGAGAAGACAATTAGATGGCTTGTTTTACGTGGCCAACCCTGTACATAAACAAGGAGAAATTGGTTTCGAACGATGCAACAATGGAACTGTCCCCGTTAATCACATTTCATCAACAGCGTTCCTGAACCTCACGGATATCCGCGTGTGTGCGAAAACTTTCGATGCTCGTTTTTCCATCGCGTTGAATATTACTCTTAATTCATCAACACCACGTCCATTCATCTTAATTCCCTAACATATTCCCTTTCATCGTTCCATCGTTCGTTCCTCATTTTCAGCGCGAGAAAGGATAAGCGCGCGAGAGGCGTTCGAGGCGAGGAAAATGGGAAAAACCGGTTTCTCTGACGCGGGTGTGCACAGGCTATCGATCGAGATTTCGCGAGCCATGGTAATTGATTTCTCCCGTTCAATTTCCCCTGTCAATCATCGTTCGTTTGCCTCTTACACGGACCACTTTCAGATGGATTACCGAACAAATACCGCGGCAGTTCTTCCTTTCCCCTCTCTCTTATCCGTCGCCTTTATTAACACGCGCGATTACGTTTAAGCGTCAAAATGTCACTCGCCACACACTCAATTTTTCACACAAAAAGGAAGAAAAAAATCAACTATCCAAGTTACACAGTTCGCGAACAAATTGAAGTGCAAACTACCGTTTTAACCGATGGTTTTTTTGGGGTTGCAATAAAGCGGAGGACAAATATCCTGTAGCTTAACAAACAGCGAGAATAAATCTCCCGCCTGGCCATGTTTCACTTTTCTTTATTTCTCCTCTGATTCGCTATTTTTTCCTTCTTTTTTTTTTTAATTTTTCGTAGCTGTTCGTTCGACGAGAGAAACCAACAGCAGAGAGAAACCGTGCGTGAAAAACGTAGCAACGAGCGTCGAAAAAGAGGGGCGACATTGCGCTCGCTCGGTAATTATCCGATGGGTTGGCCTGACACGCGGAAAAAAGCGACACTGCCAAAGTTTCCGGGGTGTTGGTTGGCCCGGTGTTCGTGTCATAAACAACTGACGGGAACTTTCTGCAACGTTCGTTGTTCTCAAGTATATGCCGACACGCAATCGTGCGCAAAGTTGAATCGACTTTGCCGATCCGACCTGTCTGGTCGGCGTTGTTCCGAAAACTTTCGAATAAATCGGTTCGTGGAAAAACGAAGCGCGAAAGAACCACGATTTATTCACGAGCCTTCTTTTCTCCCACCCCCTTACACGCTTTATTTTTCACCCGGTTTCGTTCGAACCTGACGGACGCGACGCAACTGACAAAATTCTTCGAGATTCGAATAATTCGCCGATTTCGTGGAAGTCGATGCTCGGTCGCGACTAAAAGTGTCTCAAAGACGTTGAAATCTTTGATTCGAGATTTTCGAGCGTTATAAATCAGCCAGGCCGATCTGGACCGCTTTAATCGCGGCTTTTTCGACCGTGAGCCTCGAGGGAGACGAAGGCGGCAGCGCAGAGAAGACAAGGGAGAGCTCGTCGATGCGAAAAATCGCAGGAAGCTGCGAAACGAGCGTCCTCCGCGCGGCTCCAACCGCGGCAACGAGCCGTGCAACGCTGACGGAAGAGCTATCAATTACTCGTCGCCATCAAAAACCACTCCGATCTATTTTTCGCGCCGCCCTCGCTCGCGGATCCAGGATTTCCCGAAATTCGACCGTCCTCAAACCCCCACGATTTACGAGTTGCGCTACTTTTACACATTTTTAGACACCTCCGAACAGACTTTCTTATTTAACGCTGAAAAAAGATTCTATCTTCGCATTATAGTCTTTACTATATCCTCGGCGAAGACGAGGAGAAAATAGGAGCGAATAAATCGAGTTTGCGAGAAACATTACGCTTTTTTCCCTTTAATTTCTTTGGCCAGGGGGAAGATGCTTCGCGCGAGGAATAATAGTCTAATTAGGGGGAGAGTTGTTTTTTGTATCGGTTAGAGAAGAAAGAAAGATTTCAATTTTATTTAAGTTTTGTGAACGATCGATGATCAAGTAACGATACGAGGCGAAGGATTCGAACGCTAATTTCACTGTTACCGTGAGAACGACAGAGGGAAATCAGGACACGGATAGGATATAATTTCGACTGAACTCACCAGAGCATTTCTGACGGCTACCAATTTGTCACCAACGACAAGTCGGCCATCTGCCTGGGCTGCACCGCCCTCCATAATTTTCGTCACGTAGATTCCATTGTCACCGGGTATATGCTGATTGCCAACACCTCCGGCGATACTGAAACCGAGGCCCTTGTTACCCTTAATTAGCTCGATTTCGATCAGCTGCGTGTGTCTCCGTCGGCGTACGTACTGGAAATTAATAGAAAGGCTCCTTTGAATCGTCCGGATACGTAAACGTCGCTTAAAAATACGAAATTAGTGGAAAAATTCCTGAGAAAATTTCTCAACCCTTCAACTACTACCAAATTATTTATCGTTCTCCAGTTTCTTCCTGAACTCCGTATGTTTTAAGAAGAAACACCGTGAACTTCTTTGAAAGGAAACGCTCAACTTTAGTCACAGGGTTAATTAAAATTATTCATCATTCGGTAGTTGTTTACCAAGCACTGTAGAGCTTCACTTTCTGAGTCACGAATAGAAAAAGAAAGATTACTTCAATTTCTTCGTCGCAAATCAGCCAGTGCTGAACGTTCCAACGGCGAAAGGGTTAAACGTGTCATCGAAAGGAATCCGAACTATTCATCGAAACGAGAATTTGTCAAAGTTCAAGCATCTCGTATTAAATGGACAGAATTCAGGTTTTCCGAGGATGGCGGTTCCGCCATTCCGAGGTAAATCGTGTCGCGGAGGAGCGTAACGACGAATCCACGTAATTAAAATTGTGAAAATTGATAAATTACAATTCTGCCTGAATTTTTGAAATTCAGAAAAACACAGGTAAACTTCCATTGCATTTAAACGATATTCTCCACCAAACTGGACAAAGTACAGTAAATTCTCTACAAGAGTCAGTAAGTTTACTGTCTCGCAACGTAAATTTAAGTAAATTAGGTTGAACTGCACAGAAAATGCACAGAACTGCACAAATAATTCATTTCACGATATTATAAGAAACAAACGTTGAATACATTTTTGATTTGTGTAAAAAGGATTATTTAACACGATAAATTTAGCTGTACTATGGTTATTTTTAATCTACGACCACAGGTCAACCTGATTTTTAATCCTTACGAAATTAATTTAAGCACGAGTAAGTAACGAGAACGTTAAAACGTACGTTTCCATTGAAGAATATTGTAAAAACGTATAAATTGTTATATGCAATGTTATAACAAATTGTTAGAAGTATAAATTTATACCAAAAAATTGTGAGAATTAATAAATTATACGTTATTATAACATTACAATAGAATGCAAAATAGAATTACGAAAGAATCGGCGATTTTCTGCGAAAAATAATTGATTCCCGCGAAAAACGAAGGATTTCCCGCGAAAAGTGACCGATTCCCGCGAGAAATTATCGATTTCCCGCGAAAAGTGATCGATCTCCCGCGCAAAGTAGTCCGTTTCCCGCGCAAAGTAGTCGATTCCCGCGAAAAATAGTCGATTCCCGCCCGAATTATTAACGACTTTGCTAATGATTTTGGGGAAGGGGTACCGCAGGTATAAATAGACCCGCGAGCTCCCGCGAAATCATTTACCCTTTATACTGGGCCCTAGACACTTCGCGTAATTTTGATCTGAGGGTACTGAGACGTGGGTAGGGTGGTCGAGGGCTTCTGGCTAGCAGCCTATGTCCACCCTATACACACTCAACTACCTTCTCTCAAAATTTCTTTCTGAAATTTACTATTAGACTTTGAATACTCTGCTTTGAATTTTTCTAATTTTTCTAATTATTAAAACTTAAACTTGGACTATTCAAAGTCTAATAGTCCACTATTTACTACTGAACTACTGCTACTTTTTGCTTGAAATAAATTTAAATAATCCTTCGGGTCGTTAATACACGCGAGAAAATTATTATCGAACGTATTTCGAGATTGTTTTGAGGGTTTAGGGAAATCGAGATTTCAGTTTGTTATTGTTGTTCTTCGTACTTGTCGAATAGGATATCGAAATGAATTTGAGAGGTTGCCTAATGAAAATATTTCGGCGTTTCAGCTGTCCATTAATGAAATAAATTTTCGTTACAGGTTATTTCTAAATTTAATATGTACTTTTCTTCCAGCAATCTATAATTTCATTTTCTTTCAGTATTTATGATATTTTCTATGCTATTGAAAAATGAATTTTGAATTTGTTTCATGAATTGTGATTTACTAATCTAATTCTTCGCAGGAGTTGCATGAATTTTGCATGTTAAGTAGTTAGTTACATTATTGAATTGTATATTGTGAGCTGATTTGCAACGAGTGCACTGTACTCGTTGCACTATGCCCCTAATTAAACCGTCCAAGTAGTTTACCGTGATAAATCAATTTTCAATTTTTATAAATATTAGAGTCAGTGCAACGCGTATTGAAATAATAGCTTCATCCTTAGTTCGCTTATTATTGAATATTTTTCCGCGTTTAACTATTTCCTCCCAATTCGCGTTTTTGCTTTTCTTTCAATTTACTCGCGTTTATTTGATACTTTCTTTCAATTTTTCACTCGCGTTCTATGAAAGTTTTGTTCGATAGTAGAGTCTAAAGTAATATAAATTCGCGATTTCTCCCCCTCTAAATGAATCGCGTTTCGAAGCACTTTTCGCGTCGCCCATTCCACAGTGACTCACAAAGTGTGAGTCTGTGAGTCTTGGGAAATGAACTGGGAGAGGAAGGAAGGAGGCAATGCAGTCAAATCCAAGTTGCAGAGCCCAGCTGCCTAATCTTCGAATTGTGAGTGACAAAAATGGGTTTTTTTTTCTGGTGATATGGGTAGTTAGTTGTGTTATATATTGTGCTGCCCCTAATTAAACCGTCTCACTAGTGTTTCGCAATTAATAATCGATTTTTACGAGAAGTTTTCAATTTTTCAAAATATTAGAGTCAGTGAATCGCGTATTGAAATAATAGCTTCATCCCTAGTTCGACTTATTATTGCATATTTTTCCGCGTTTATCTGATATTTCCTCCCAATTCGCGTTTTTGCTTTTTATTCAATTTACTCGCGTTTATTTCATACTTGTTTCAATTTTTCACTCGCGTTCTATGAAAGTTTTGTTCGATAGTAGAGTCTAAAGTAATATAAATTCGCGGTTTCTCCCTCTCTAAATAAATCGCGTTTCGAAGTACTTTTCGCGTCGTCCATTCCACAGTGACTCACAATTCGTGAGTTTGTGAGTCTTGGAAAATCAACGCTTGGAGGAAGGATGACCATCTGAGAGGAAGGAAGGAAGGAAGGATGCAACGAAATCGACATTGCAGAGCCCAGCTGCCTGTCTGCGAACTGTGAGTGAATTTTTTGAGGGTTTGGTGATTGGTTATATATGTGTGTGCATGTGCATGTTTGAAGCTGAACTACCAAACTTGGAAGAAGAAATCGAAGGATGTGAGTTCACATCCGAACTCTACTGCACTAAAGGTGCAAACGCCCTCCCATTATTAGAGTATCCCAATAGTATACCGCGTTAATTCTTAATAGAGTCAATTTTCACTACGAATGCCCATTACTTTCGATCGATACGAGAATTTATTACGTCGCGTCGCGTTTCATAATAGCTTCATCCCTTTTTCTTTTCTTTTCTTTTTTTCAGAGCGTTCAGTTGATACCTCCCTTAAACCTTTGCTAAATACCCCATCTAAAATGGACTACATGAGAAAATGGAGGATGGTAAAAATTCGCGATTTCGGGTACTAAATAAAATTCAACGAATTAAACTACACTTAAAAGAAATCGCGATCCGTACACAATTTCGCGCGACACTTCCACAGCTTCCTAAGTCTGGTGGGTCCTTCAGTCTGGCTTTGGGTCACTCAATCTGGCTTTGGGTCCTCAATCTGGCATTGGGTCACTCAATCTGGCATTGGGTCCTTCAATCTGGCATTGGGTCACTCAATCTGGCATTGGGTCCTTCAATCTGGCTTTTTGGGTCTTTAAATCTGGCATTGGGTCATTCAAAGTGGCATTGGGTCATTCAAACTGGCATTGGGTCATTCAAACTGGCATTGGGTCATTCAAACTGGCATTGGGTCATTCAAACTGGCATTGGGTCATTCAAACTGGCATTGGGTCATTCAAACTGGCATTGGGTCATTCAAACTGGCATTGGGTCATTCAAACTGGCATTGGGTCATTCAAACTGGCATTGGGTCATTCAAACTGGCATTGGGTCATTCAAACTGGCATTGGGTCATTCAAACTGGCATTGGGTCATTCAAACTGGCATTGGGTCATTCAAACTGGCATTGGACCACTGGTGCAACCAAATTCACGACTTGGAGGACTCAAAACTGTGTGATGAAACCAAAATTCGATGCTTGAAGGATGCAAGTGATTCACTGAGGAAATTTCAAAGGCTCGATGGATCTGAGAGGATGAACAAATGCAATCAAATCTATGTTACAACGTCCAGTTGTGTGGTAAGTGGTGAGTCACATCTTTTTCTTTATTAATTAAATATTTTCTGGAGAAATATTTCAGGTATACACTATTTATTTGTTACAAATAATCAAATTTATTCATTTTCAGTAATTTCAGAATTTCATACTACTTTAGTTGGAATATTCATTTTCTTCAACTATTCACGAACACATTGAACATCAGAATCAGATTTTGATGAAAGTTTGATAGGTATATTTGTCAGGTATTTCTTAATATCGACAATCGTTCACGACGAAGGGTTGAAAATGTCTCTCGAGTTGCAAGTAATAAACGTATTTGCTTTAATATCCCAAAAATAATTAGAGATTGAGAAATTATATACTATGACGAATTCTGCAGTTTAGAATTATAAATTTCGCTTGCAAATAAATTTCGAAAAATTCCTTTTACTTAACCCAACCTTTTCAGATATTTCCCTTCCTCCTACTAATTTTAATGTAAATTCGTGCACGAAGAATGAATAGAAAATTGTACAGAGTGCCGTACGAGTGTATTATAAAATAAGCCACTGTAAAGTGTGTGAATACGAACCAAGCGAATCTTAACTTTAAGTAGTCCATAAGATAAAACAAGTTGGAAGATATTTTACACGTCGTGGGATGCGTGCGTTTTAATTTCAACTACTTCCTAAAATAAAATAAGTAATTCTAAGATAGAAAATTGTACCGAATACCATGTGAGCGCTTTCTTACAGAGATACGCGACTCATTTCTAGCACAATTAACAAAATACCTTCTGCATTTTGACTATCGTCGATACTGACCATAGAATAATAATCTTCTCGCGAGTATCAATTCTCGATCGCTCAGTTCCTTCGAGCTTTTTCACGACGTACTTGTCTACGAATAGCGCGCGATATTCTTAGAATAATTACGTCGTATAGGCTCGTTGGTCCTTTCGCGAATTTCTCCCATTAAGAATTTTCGATAAAATTTCTATTGCTACAAATGAGAAACGCGTATCTCTGAAGGTAGAAAGCTGCCAGTAGGGCATGTGTTTTTGTCGGGTCCCTTGCGTAGTCACCTCCTCGTGGTGGGACCTGGTAATTGGTATCCTTTTCCAAAGAAAATTCTCACTTTTGCAAAAGGATACCAAGCTAAGAACTACGCGTACCCGTCGACACTCTCATTCTCACACACAGTTGAAAGTTTGAACTTTAAGTAGTTCGTAAGATAAAGTAAGTTAATTCTAAGATAGAAAATTGAACACTATGTGCCCGTTTCTTAATAAAATACCTTGAAAAATTATTCAGATTC